TTAGTATAATACAAATTATATTAATATATTTTGAATAAAAAGATTAATAAATATAGTGGCTTGTAGCCTGATTAGGAGTAAAACAAAAAAAATATTAAGCATTTGATAGTATAGTATTATCTTATTTAATTATAAATAATATATAAAATATTTTTATTAATATTTAAATACTGTATATAAAAAAAAATTAAATAAAAAAATTTCTTTTTATAAAATAATAATCTCAAATATTCCAAGCTATCTTACAAAACTATTTTTCAAAAAAGAAATATAAAAATTTATGAATTGATCATTCAATAACCTCGATATACAGTATTGTAATACCTATTGAAAATCCGTAATATAGTATATTATGAAATGAAAATAGAATATTATTTTATTTTAAGAATCTAATATAATTTATTGTATAAAAAAAAAATAAAAATTGATTTCAAGAAAAACTTTAGTTAATTTAGTTAACTTAATATATGTAGGCATAAGTTTATTATACAAGATAAGAATAAATAAACAATTAATTATTAAAATACTTATTTTTATCTTTAAAACTTGATATTTAGTTAAAATTAAATCAATTGTTATAAAGTTTATATTTATATTAAAATTTTATTACTAAGTAGCTGGTATTCAGAAAGTTTAAACTGATGATTATTTATATAAAAAAATAATTTTCCTATAGTATAGTATTATTACTTTGATCTGAATATATAGAGGAGTTATATAAAAATAGGTCAATTTTTATAAATGTCATATCACTTTTTTTTATTATTATTACCTAAATATACAATTACCAATAGGTTGCATAACTCTTTTTTTATCATCTCGTTAATATATTCTGACATGAAATTTATAAAATGAAGAATATTTTCAAATGAAATATTATTCTATATTACAATAATGGCTTCTTTCAATTCAGTTTTATTTTGTGATTTTCTGTTTTTATAAATCCAATACTTGACTTCTCTCCATACATTTTCAATTAGACTGAGGTCAGAAGATTGAAAGGACCCTTCCATAGTTGTAATTTCAAGCTTAGATTAAAGCTTCTTTATGATTTTATACTTATGGATTGGTAAGTTGTCTTTTTGAAGTATCGTTTTATTAGAAATCATTACTATTGGATAAATAGCTTTAAAAACAATGTTTGTATATTCCTGCCCATTTATATGTAATGTAGTGCGAAGTAAATGATATAAATTGTTTCCATCTATATATCCTTAGACCATTATTGACTTGTGATTACTTTTAACAATTGCTTGAGTACAATCTGGATTATAAAGTTCATCTTTATAATATCAGATTCAGATTTTTCCATTTGAGTCGGTACTTATGGAAGATTTGTTGGTCCATAAAACTTGTTGCCAATCTTCTTTAGACCAGTTTTTATAAGCTAAAGCCTATTTTAATCATTTGATTCAATTTGTTTTACTAATCATTGGTTTTTTGCAAGTAATATGAGAATGGATACCATTTTTCTTTAATGTTCTTATTAAGGTACTTGGAGATATAGGGTTGGATGAAAATTCGGCAACAAGTGATCATTTTGACATTCTTTGAAAGGTTGGATCAGATTTTATTTTTCAAAGAATTAAATGTTCATAATGATTACTGATAAGTGATTTTCGACCACAATGTTTTCTTCTTAAATAACTGAAATTACCAGTTGATTTTAAGTGTTTAACACAATTTTTGATGCAATTATCTGACCGCCCAAGAATTCGCAGATTTTGGCAGCTGACATGCCTTCTTCCTTAAGTCTTTCTACAATAGAACACTCAGCTTCTGTTAAATCATTTTTGCGACCCATTAAGTAAACAAAAAAAATTCTCGATTTTTTTTCTTCTTAAATAGTAAATTAAACAAAAAGCAAATCTCTTTTGTTAATGCGCAGTAATACGCAGGTGCAATTTTAATAGTAATAAATTAATTCGAAATCTTTGTGATTATTAAAATTATCACAATCGACCTATTTTTGTATGACCCGTCTGTACAAGCTGACTTTTTTACATACAGAAAAATACCTTGCAACTACATCACGAGATTTAAAGTTTTTTATCTTGATATGATATCATAATTACAAATTTCATATTTGGAAATAACGTATTTACAGTAATTGTCCAAATCGCTACTTTGTTAGAGACAAAACATCGCCATGAGATCGGCGCGAAAGATACAGAACCTTCGTAATCATGATCTTATCAAACAGCATGTCATTCCAATTGCTTTAGGTGGACCAACGAATTGCTATGACAAGCTATTGGAAAACATAGGTATATGGTTGAATAAGAGAATTTGGTTGGTGTTGTAGTTGGCTGATCTTCTTTGAAATACGGTTCGGCACGTTGTGTT